CCATATTAACCCAACTCTTCTCAAAGTGCTGTTGCTGTGGAGAAATAGGAAATAGGAAGAGGGAGGAATATAAGGTATATTGGCCACCTTGAGTTACTTATAAAAATAAAGACGGCATTAATAAATAAATGCAGAATGACCATGATTGCACAAGCTTCTGATCCATGGTTATTTCATGGCTTATTGAATTAACCCAACTTCCTATGTTTGTGCTGTGCACAGAATTATAAACTATTCATACTGATTGAATGGTCTGAATTTGCACAAAGCCCTGATCCACAAATTAACTAACTACAGTCCAGCCTAGCAATATGTACAACCTGAGAATCTCTAAGGAATTATTCATGATATTAAGCAGAGACACACATTTGGCCGCCATTTTGAATAATATACTTCTAATAATAGTTCTGGCTGAAGAACTTCATGCAGCCAGGGTGGCACATTGGTTAGAATGCAGTATTGCAGACTAATTCAGCTCGTTGCCAGGAGTTCGATCCTCACCTGCTCAAGGTGGACTCAGCCTTCCATCCTTCTGAGGTCAGTAAAATGAGGACCCAGATTGTTGGGTGCAATATGTTGACTCTGTAAACCATTTAGAGAGAAATGTAAAGCAGTATATAAGTCTAAGTGCTATTGCTATGGACTATTTTAAAGCTGTTTCAGAACACAGTTTCTCCACATGCCTCAAGAGCAGGCATTTACTTTTAGTTAGTTGACTGCCCTCAGTCTCATATCTGTCTCTCACCATGTTTCAGTGGCTAGGAAATGGAGATGCTGATATCAGCACAACTCTTGGAGAAGCATTATTAAAAGAATACGCGTTCTAAAGTAGATCTCAAAGCCTTTTGACAAAGATTCTTTGTAATAGTGAGTGTGAAGCTGCTGCAAAAGAATGTTTGCCTCCAAGTAGAATAAATGTCTTCAAATTTCCACTATTAAAGCTAGAAATGTTGAAAAGCTTCTAAATAATAAACCAGCTTCTACGTGTGGCAAATATACCTTCAGGTGCTTGTCAACCTGACATTTTGGTTTATTGGTTGAATTGTTATAATAAATATTTTAAGCGCTGCACTAAAGGGGAGGTGGTGGTGTTAAGGTTTCCTTTTTCGTTTTCAAAATCTCTAGACAGAAGAGCTGTTTCAGGATGGTTAATAAAATGGTGCTTATGCTTCAGCTAAAATATAAACATTGTATTTTAATTTAACTTCTATTCTCCTGGGCTCTATCTGCCAGACGTGGTTCACATGCTCACAATTCAGTCATCAATCATTGCTGTAACTGCAATTTTGAGATTTTACTGCATTGTTTGAAGCCAACACAACCGCCCTCTGGGGTTTGCACAAACCAGACTCTAGGCTAGGATAAGCCTTGGGTACAACATCCACTTTGCCTTACTTAAAAAGCTCCTATTTCAGGATCATAAAGTGATCTAAAAAACAGTTAAAAGAAAATGGAGGAGGAATCTGGAGGCTTAGTGTAATATAGATGCAGTCCCACAGGGTCAGCTCTTGAATTTTAAATGCTTAATTAAAAAAAAAAAATCTTGGGAGATGTCAGAGTAGGTACTATGTAATCTCGAATCCAAATCTAAATTCAGGTATGAGGAAGACTGTAGTTTTTCAGAGGAACTGTTCTGCTTGATTTCAAAGCTATTTCAGCTTTGCCACTGATCCATGCTTGAACATCAGTGGCAGTCTTGGGCTATATGGATGAAGTGCAGCTCATAGGAAGTAATAAATAGTGCACTATTTTGTTCCCATTCAAGTTGCAGGATGCCATGAATTAATATGACCACCTGACCTTGTTTGAAAGAGCTCTTAAAACCTGGCTGTTTCCCAAGGAATAGATACTAACAGAACAGAATCATAGAGTCAGAAGGGACTTTAGAGGTCCTCTAGTCCAATCCCCTACTCAAGCAGGAAACCTTAGACCATTCCGGACAAATGCTTGTCCAATCTCTTCTTAAAAACTTCCAGTGATGGAACACCCACAACTTCTGAAGGCAAGCCATTCCATTGATTGTTCTCACTGATAGGAAATTCCTCCTTAATTCCAGGTTGCTTCTCTCCTTGATTATTTTCCATCCATTGCTTCTTGTCTTGCCTTCTGGGGCTTTGGAAAATAAGTTGACCTCCCCCACACACAAACTTCTTTGTGGCAGCCCCTCAAATACTGGAAGATTGCTATCATGTTCCCCATAGTCCTTCTTTTCTCTAGACTGCCATTTACTTGCATGTCAGCAAACTAACCGAGAGCTGTCCAGGTTTCCAAGAAACTGAGACCAGGGCTATGCATACTAGCTGGAGGGGAAAACCAGTTTAATCCCAGAGGGTTTCCCCCTTGAGAAAACAGAGGCAGAATTATGAATCCAGGCTGAAAAACAGCAAGGAAAGTAAATGAGCTGGAAAGGATCAAGGTTTGTGTGCCCTCTCCTACATGACAAGGCCTGTGTGATACTTTGCACAGGGCTGGGCAACTACATGGGGTCCTCGGCTTATGACCACAATTGAGCCCCAAATCTCCACTGGCAAGCAAGACAGTTGTCAAGTGAGTTTTGCCCCATTTTACGAGCTTGCTTGCCACAATTGTTAGGTGAATCTCTGCAGCCGTTCAGTTAGTAACTCGGTTGCCAAGGGAATCTTGCTTCCCCATTGACTTTGCTGGTCAGAAGTTTGCAAAAGGGGATGACGTGTTCCTAGCACGCTGCAACCATCATAAAGATGAGCCAGTTGACAAGGGTCTGAATTCTGATCATGCTGCAACAGTCATAAGCACGAAATAGGTCATTACTTTTTTCATTGCCATTGTAACTTTGAACAGTCACTAAATAAATGGTCGTAAATTGAGGACTACCTGTTTTTTTTTTTTTTTTAAAGGAAAATGCCCTCTAGGAGAGCCAGACACCCCCCTGAACTTCATTCTGGAAACCAAAGACATGCAGCTAAAGGGAACAGCGAGACACTTTCCAGAGCTAAACTCAGTTTAAATTCAAGCTTCTCCTACCCCAATCTCTTTGCTCTCCTCTGGAGTCAGCTGGTCAAAGATCTTGGCCTCATCAGACCCCGGGAAGGCATTGGTCATAATCAAAGTTCTAGGCATCATCGTGGACCTTGTTGCTGAGGATCCTGGTGGGTCCTTCTTCTCAGTGGGTTTGCTCTGAGCGCAGAGAGCCCACAGTGTGGGGCACCCGATGACTTGCTGAACACCCAACACTACGGTGAGGCTGGTCCACGGCAACGAGGCCACTTGTATTTTATATGGTTCTTTTTAGAGATTGTGGAATTAATTAATTTGCTGCCCATCTTGTGTCCGACGACTCTCGGCAGGTTACAATATAAAATTATATTTGTGTAAATATGTAATGTAGATGTAAATACATATTATATTATATGCCACCCAGAACAGCAATCAAGTTGGGTGGCCTTACGCATATTAAGAAATCAAATGTGCCCGGAAAAGTGGTGAGAGCTAAAGGATTCTGTGAGCATAGAAGAGTTGATTGAAAAAACAAACAAACCCTGGGAGTTGAAATCAGCAAAACAGAAAATTAAGGGAAGGTATACCAGTAGCCTTCCTGTATCTGATAAACAGACGACGGAGCGGATTTTTTTCTGTTGGTCAGAAGCATGAGTAGAGCCATTTGGTGACAGATTAGAGGAAAATGTGTTTCAGCTAAAATCTAGAGGGAAGATTTAATAGTGAGACTTCCAGAACAACAAAGCAGGCTGCCTACCTCCAGTCATGACAGAGAGCTACAAACAGAAGCTGCAGGGCCACCTGGCAATTAAGCAGGCCATTATATTGCACATTCTGCAAAAAAAGAGGTGGGTCTCCAATAATTCTTCCAATTCTGTGATCCTAAATTCTGAAATCACCCCACTCCCATTCCCCGTCAAAAAAGTAACGTGTAATTTATGAAGTCCAATGGTCAGTGACCAATCATTGCACCTTAAGTGTTGTTCAGATGGCTGTATGAATATCTGAAACCCCAGTGAAATTGGGGTGGTGAGGACCCTATATGGCTTGTTTTAAAAAAGCTAGAGTTTATTGTCAAGAAAACTAGCAAGATCAACTTAAATTATACAGAGAAAAAATACAATGTAAATCTTGATTCCGATACTGAATGCTTTGAATGCTTATAAAAATACTTCACTTACATAAGAAAATCATGTTTTGTCTAAATGAGAATTTATAAAGCTTCCAAAGTCAGTCTCTTGCACTCTAGATCCATCCCCTTGAAATAGTTAAAAATAACAGAGAACGGTTTCATCCTTCTAATGAACCAATTCCATTATTGCCAATTTTCCTCATCTGCTCAGAATTTACACAACAGATTTCAGTGCCAACCCTTACAAAACAGGATTATGCACGTTTGGATGGGGCAGTTAGACAAACATTTGAACAAGCAGCCATTGTTGTTATATTGATAATCCATTCTATGTAATGGATTACTCACACTTTATAGACTAAAATAGACAATCATAAAAGAAAATGAGCTTTATTTTAAACAGGAGCTCCCCAATGGAAATTTTATTAAACTATCCCAGGGGTAGGCAACTTTGGCTTTTTTATGACTCGTGGACTTCAACTCCCAGAATTCCTGAGCCAGCATGGTTCAGGAATTCTGGGAGTTATAGTTCACAAGTCATAAAAGTACCAAGATTGCCTACCCCTGAACTATCCTATGAAAGCAACAAGAGGAACTTTTTATATGTCTCTCTTTCCTGTAGTGACACCTACTGGCAAGTCACTCAAATATCAGGTTCATCTGTTCTATATTGGAGGAGTGCACAATCTCCTTTGGGTACAATTCCCCAAGAAAAGTCCTGTAAAAATTGACCCCAGATTGTACTATAATTGCAATGTGATCAACAGTGAGATATCATATTACCACTTAATCCCCTCTGCCTATAAAACATTCACCAATCTAACTAAATTCAGTGTTCCAAAGTTTTGTTAAATTAACTGTCACAATCCAAATAATATTACAAATTAAGAAGTTTGCTTTTACATCATTTATTCAGTTTATATAACTGGAAGGGAATCATATCGCTTATACACTGGTCTCTTCACACATTCGGGCAGGAATATTGTAATGTCGGTCATCTTCTGTTATAAGAGTTACCATGGGCCAGGTTTCTTCAGGATCATTGGGATACAGAGTGATGAATTCTTCTGTTTTGTACTTATACAATCGGTAAACCTGGATGGTATGCTGCAAAGCATAGGCAAGGAGAAACATTTCAACCTAAGAGATGGGAGGGAGAACAAAATCTGATGTTATAAAGAGACAAGCATTGAGGCAGTTTTGATTTCATTGAATAAAGGTAATAGGTTTCCTCCCTATGCTTTCAGACTTCTGATCTATTTAGGAAACTATATACACACAGTGTCAAGCATGCAAGGCTCCACCTTGACCTACTACATGTGCATATATAGTTAAGTTTCTGAATGACTGCAAGAAGAAACCATCTCTGTATATCTCAGTTCTTTTAAATTTAAGCAAACCTAAAATAGCTTGGCGTCTTCCGGCTATTTTGACTTCAACTCCCATCAGTCCAGGCAGCATGCCAAAGGGAAAAAAGATTGAGAAGACATCTGGTGGCCATCAAGCTACCTACCTTAAACTCTAAAGACTCTATGAACTTTTAAAAGCCAACTCCATTCAGTTAACAGTCTGATCGGAGACCTTCCTACGGTGTCTTCTCACCCAGATCTTTGTTCTTCTATAGCTGCAGCTCTGCTTCTTCTTTATATCTCTTTATGTTGCACTCCACTGATGCTTTTTGCTAACATCAAGCTTTGTCCGGCTTTCAACTCTGTGTGTTGTTTAACTTTTTGTTTTCTCTGGCCAAAGCCCTCAATCACTTTTTAACAACTGGCAGACTGCAAGCTCACGGGCCTATTTGTAACTGCCAAGGAATATAATTAGAACACTTTCTCATGGACTGATCTTTTAAAATTCCACCTAGTTTTAAACTGTTGAGAATGCAACAACTTGGCTCCCATGCTCATCCATTACCTCTCACACAATGCATCATTGAGAAGTAAACGCTGCAACATTTTGCGATGTGCAGAACCCAAATAATTTTGTAGTATATAAAACTATTATTAGCAAACCATGCAACGCTTAAGACAACCTATTCCCACACTTAAAAAAAAAAACAACCCCTAATAAGCAGTGTTCTGATATCTTATTCAAATAGGCATGAACACACCAGCTGCTTTTCCAACACTGAATAATGGCCGTGAGGTACTTTTATTCAAAACCAAGCAGATTGACTACGGAGAAAGAAAGGAAAGTTAAACGTACTGAGCATGCCTGTCCTTTTCGTGTTTGTTTTTATTTCCAGATGAGTTAACTCTGCTTTATCATAAAGCTACATTGACATAATTTGGTAAACCTGAAAGGACAATTCTGCTTTACAGCCTGAGAAATTGCACAGGATGGGGTGGAAGTGGGGTCTCTTCTGAACCTTGCACTATCCATCTGCAGACTATGCTGTCTTTTAGCCTTGAGATGGCTTTTCACCCATTCTCCCAAGGTCTTTCTCACGTTCCTTTCCAGCTATTGATTGTACTGGATTAATTTTTTAACATTACATTAGGTATCGAATATTCAATTAATAAATGCAAGAATTGTGCTTACCTGTTCAAGGCCTCCCGTGTGACCAAGTTGATTCAAGTGGTTTTCCATTAATTGGGAAGGATTGCTAGATGTGTCTCGAGCAAACAGAAGCCAAGAGAACACAGGGACCTCTTTGCCCTTTTCGCTGTCTTCATACAATTGAATGGCAGTGCTCAGCATAAGAAACTTGACTGCTTCATAGAGCTTGTATTCTTCTTCTTCACTTTTGAAAAGCTCATCACAGGCTGCTTGCCTCTCTACAAAGGTTTTTATGTCACTCATATTTTTCCACTACAACAGGAAATAAACAGTGACTAGATTAACTGGGATGAAAAGATGTCCCTGGTGAAACAAACTGAAACCCTCTAGCATAGAGGCCCCCAACCCCTGGTTGGTGGACCAGTACGGGTCCGCGGCGTGCCAGCAACCGGTCTGCACAAACAAGCAAAGCCCCATACGCGAGATGCAGGCAGCACACAAAACCACACCCCCTCTGGTCCGCGGAAAAACCTCTCTCCGCGGAACCGGTCCCTGGTGCCCAAAAGGTTGGGGACCTCTGCTCTAGCACAATTGATATTCCAACCTTGTTTTGAAGCTCATCAATTGGTACCAAATATCAATTGGTACCCTTGAATATTCTCTGACCATGCTGCAGATGACTTGATTTCCAACTCATTAAGCTATTTAAAATGTTCAAACAGAGGAGAAAAGGGGGAAAAAACCTTCTAATTCTCCAATTATTGTGAATTGTCACGATCAACTATAATTACTTTATGAAATATAGCTGTTATTAAAAAAGTCAAGTGCCTAATATATTAATAAAAAACTCCATATTGTTAATGACAGCTTAACCTGTATCATGATGAAGTGCAGAAGTATGTCTTGCAAAAATTATTTAACATTTAAATTGTCTGTGTAACACACAATGAGATTGATTTCTAAGCAGTTTTTATGCAGATCTATTTTTATTTTTATACACCATTATTTACGTTTTTCAAAATGCTTTTTGAGATACTTTCAAAATAAAAATTCAGTTAATGCACATCAATAAATGTGGTGCAAAACAATCCAGTCTTGCCATTAATTTATTTAAGGGATCTATATCTCCACCTTTTTAATGCATACCTGTGCAATAGTGTTAAAATTTAAAACAAGCAACAGAATCTTATCCTAATAATAAAATACATGCAAGAAATGTTCGTCAAAGCTGATCTACCTCTATAAATATCAAAATAAGGAGTTTTAGATTAGCATTCTGAATTACATTTCACTTCAAAGGATATTCTTCTCTTCCAATATATTCCATTGTTTGTCAGCAATCCCCCAACTACATTTAACCCAGGACAAAGTGGTTAGGTTCTGTACAAAATAATAACAACTGTGGATTTGTAATCAAAAGTGCAATATTTAATGAGTGGGAGATCATTTCAACCTTTCATTATACATTGTCAGTGACCTTTGGTGACCGTTCTTGAACAAAAGGAATTTAAAGTAGATTTCATTATGAAAAACCTGCCCTAGGATTCATCAATCTGTGGCATGAGTTCAGGTGTTTTTCAAGACACACATATTTCTACTCAGCAATATAAGGGTGGCTGTAGGACCTCCCAAAACTATTTGATGAGTAGTCACGATAAATAAGGAATAATGACCAGTACTTTTTGCGTTTCATTTCTCTCTGACAAACCTGCCACTAATAATGTATTTTCTGTATATTTATCATTCCAGAAAAAGAGCAAGTCTACCAAGATGAAATGCAATAATGAACTTGTAAATCTTTAAGGTACTACAAAATTCTGTTTTTACTGCTAACTCAACTTACTTCTGGAAAAGGATTTAAACCACCATGTAGCAAATAAAGGACCATGCAATTATGTTCAATGCATAATATAATTAACTACAATCCAGTTAATTAACTATGGAACTAGTTAATTCCAACTTGCTTTATTTTGAAACTCTAGAAAGAGCTCAGAGAAGAGCAGCAAACATGATTAGGGGACTGGAGGCTAAATCATATAAAGAACGGTTGCTGGAGTTGGGTATGTCTAGCTTAATGAAGAGGAAGACGAGGGGTGACATGATAGCAGTGTTCCAATATCTTAGGGGTTGCCACAAAGAAGAAGGAATCAAGCTATTCTCCAAAGGACCTGAAGGCAGGACAAGAAGCAACAGATGGAAACTAATCAAGGAGAGAAGCAACCTAGAACTAAGGAGAAATTTCCTGACACTTGAGAACAATTAATCAGTGGAACGGCTTTCTTCCAGAGGTTGTGGGTGCTGCAACACTGGAGGTTTTTAAGAAGAGATATGACAGCCATTTGTCTCAATGACATAGGGTTTCCTGCCTGAGCAGGGGGTTGGACTAGATGACCTCCAAGGTCCCTTCTAACTTTATTATTATTGTTGTTGTTTTTATATGTTTAGAAACCAGGTTGCCTAGATAAGACTGCTAAGCTGCAACTATTTCATTTTCATACATTATTACTCATACCTTTCTTTTTAATAACATCAAACAATCTTTAATTTCATCCATTAGGCTTTCCACTTTACTTGTCCATGTGTGCCTGAGTCGCCACTGAGTGATCCATTCATATCTGACCATCAGCTTCTCCGGTAACTAAAAGGTTCAGATATTAAGTGTTAACATGTGTTAGAAAGTTAAAAAAAAAAAGATTATTTAAGTATTACATTTTAATTAAGCTTCTTATCCCCCCTAAAGCTATTTAATAAGCCATTTAAAGGTTTTTCTTTAAATGCCTCAGCTAAGGCTGATGAATAAAACTCCAAAGCAGAAGTGATCTTAAGTCTGCCTATGAAATAAAGTGGTTGAATATGAGGCCTACCGATATCAGGTCTTCTTTCTGAAGCCACTGAGGAAGGTGACCAGCTTGGCTGAGAGCTTGAAATAAGGTCGCCCGGAGAGCACAGTAATTATCTCCTCGCACTCTTCTTATTGAAATAAATTTATGCGAAACAGCTTCATAGCCCTGTATTAAAAATCATAATCTAATAGAGACGGTCCTAACTCAACAGAATAATGGAGTTGTCATGTTACCTAGAGTTCTAAACCAATCATCAACATTTGCCGGAAGTTAATAATCACAGCTGCTAACTTGTTGCTGAATACATGCACTATATCATCCACAGTGTTCCCAAATGTCATGTTTGGACACCCTCCCAAAATAAAATAAATATTTAGAACTGGCTGAAATCTTGTGAGATCTGCAAAATCTGATTGAACTATAGATTATTTGCATCATCATCATACAAATTCAACATCCGGAAAAAGACTAATGTAATGTAACAGCTAATGTAACAGCTCCATTTATACAATGTAACAGCTCCATTTATACAATCATAAACAATAATCTAATTCATAATTTTGACTACTGGGAATGAGGCTGGAGAGCGCCTTAGAATCACATCTTTCCCTCCCACTCCCAATTTTTCTTTTTGCACGTGGAGAGAAGATAATGACACTTTTCACTTAACCACACAACTCCAAAGAACCTGAGCTGCACTCTAAGCTCCTTTAAACAAGCCAAGATAAAGCAGCAATTGGATGTTCAAATTGGTAACAGCATAAACATCCTGGGAGGAGAAATCTAGTTATGACAAAAACTTTGGGAAGGGATGGTGAGTGAAGGAAGAAGATGAGGCTGTAAATAAGGACTTTTGATCAGAGATGTTTGCCTGATGCAGCAAGACTCTTTTTCTATTCCTATATCTTTTCTTATCCATCTTTATTATTTTTATAAATAATTCAAGGCAATGAAAATACCCAATACTTTTTCCTATTTTCTCTGCCAACAACCCCCATGAAGTGAGTTGGGCTAAAATAGAGTAACAGGCCCAAAGTCACCCAACCAGTTCTCATGCCTAAATGGGACTAGAATTCACAATCTCTCAGTTTCTAGCCTGGCGCCTTCACCACTAGATCTAACTGGCTCTCCTACTTATTTTACTTGCACAATTGCTCTACATCAGTGTTTTACTGAATTCTTGGAACTGAAGTCTGCAGGTTTTAAAGTTGCTAAATTTGATAAATATTGCACTACATTCTTCCTATCCACCTCAAGCAGAATTACAATGGGTAAAAAATCCCCACCCACTTCCAAAACTGGAAACTCCACAGTTATCTTTTTACATATTAAAAACAAGATTTGACTCTCAGTTGTTATGTAAATCAAAACTGATAACATTCTTTATGATGCACAATAAGATTAGCCATTTTCTCTTTTTCAAATCTGCAAGGTTCTTAAGACACCAAGATCACGCCTATTAAAGCCCTTCATGGAACATGGCTGGATTATTTGCAGAGCCCCTCATCTGTAGTTGTGTCTGCCTATCCCACAAGATCTGAAGGAGTGGCTGTGCTTCAAATTACCTCTTTAAAACTATGTCATCTATGTCAGTGTAGCTGGAATAGCATCCCTGCCCTAAGATTTGGGTAGATGTGTAGCTGTTGGCTTCTGCAAGGCTTTAAAAACTCTTTCCCCCCGCCCCCAGCACTGGGACAAGATTTTGGATAAGTCCATCTGAAAAAAATGGTTGTTTTTTTTTTGTACCTTCAAATCAGTTTTTAACTCCTGGCGACTGCCTAGCAAGTCCCTCCAGTTTTTGGGGTAAGATTTTAGAAGTGGTTTGCCATTGCCTGCTTCCTAGGGCTGAGACAGAGTGACTGGCCCAAGATCACCAGCTGACTTTCTGCCTAAGAGCTCATAGATTCTGAATTTCTAGCTTGATACCTTAACCACTATATCAAACTGCCTCTTCTGAAAAATGGTTTAAGCCTCAATTTATGTTGTTTTTATGTACTGCTTTAATGGTATCTATATTCATGGTTTATCTTTTTGTGTGTGCTTTAATCCTCAAGGTGGCCAGAATTGTAATTTTAAAACTGGGTGGTCACATACAATAAATAATAAATGCCTTATCTGATCATCTGATTAATTTCTCCTTCAGTCCGAACAAAAGGAATCCAATTACGAGCATAATTTTGCAAACTTAAATTGTATTGAAACATCACACTGAGAAGAGCTGGGTGCACCTTGAGCGATTTGTATGCAATAATCGTTCCTACACTGCATCTTTCTACAAAATAACCATATAAATTAGATTAAATTTAAATTAAAGGCCATTATCTTTTACAACTTCCAAAAATAAACTTTATTTTCAATTCTGCAATTACCAAAAATACAAAGAACAATTTACTCATGATAAACAATTTATACTCTGTCTTTTGTGTAAATATTAATATTGAGGTTTCACTAGAATATGTCTATATTTATTACTACCGTATATTTTCAAGAAAATAACAATTCGGATTTAGATCCCGAAAAGAGAAATTCCCTACATAGAGAAACAGGAGAACAGACCTTCCGAATACATTCAGCGTGGGATGTGTTTCCTCGCCACTCTTCTTGGCAATAATCCATGATATCTACTTCAGGTTCAATACTTAGCTTATTTTCTAGAAAATCTAAATTCAATTAAGACAAGAAAATTACATTTAAGTTAAACATCAGAAACTCCACTCTACATTTTTTTAAAAAGTATCTCCACATGCAGATGGAAATGGCCAGGATTTCCATCAGTTGCAGATTCCCTGTATCTGGAATGTTTGATCCTCCTTGGAATAAAATACATACACTTTTCATCTGTCAAATGTAATGTCTTCTAAGTGTTCTCATTTATTTGCTACTTTAAGGGTGGGTCTTTCATGCAGATGCAATAAATATGAAAACAAATAAGATACTACGTGCACCAAAACCATGTCATGATAAAAATCCAGGGTTTGGTAATTTCTCATTTAAAATATTGCAATACTTTATGTATGTGTATGTATATATAATTTTGCAGCAAGAGTACTAATTAGAACTGGGTGCTATGAATGGCAGTTGTACAAAGCTTTGAAAAATGTGCTTTCCAGTATTGAAGATTTGCATGAAAAACCTCTTTGAATTTATTATATAAATTACATAAAATGTTGGAATTGATTGTTGTTTTCTTCTAAACATTTTTTTTACTTGTTTGACACATGACTTTTGAACATTCTTAAGTACAATAACTTTGTTGTTAAGTCTGGTTTCTTTAAGAAGAAACTGGACAGCCACTTGTCTGAAATAGTATAGGGTCTCCTGGTTGAGCAGGGGGTTGGACTAGAAGACCTCCAAGGTCCCTTCCAACTCTATTCTGTAACTAACTTTCTCTGACATTGACAAATTCTAATGTGACAATATCCTTTAGGTTAAGAACCAGTTTATTGGGCCTGATTTTCAGTATACCTTGTAATTTTAGTCTTTGCTCCAAATTTTTATCTTTTAAGCTGCCATGGGGAAAAAATGATTTTGAAGGGCAGCATACTGTACCAATTTTTTTTTAAAGTCAACAAGTGCTAGGTGTTGATTTGTGCATCATCCAGCGTAGGCCTTACGCCATAAAGAAATACTTTTGAAATGTACCTGAAGAATCTGTCCCAATCTCAAGTAACACTTTCTCTCTCTCTATTTCATCCGCATCACGGTACAGGTCCTCCTCACTGCAACAACATTGATATACACTTCACGCAACAGGAAAGACTGAATTCATAGAGATATCTTTCTCAGCAAAAGGAGCTAGGCAGCTTTTCTCAGGCAATAGTTGTCAATTAAGGTTGTCCGTGCTGCAAACCTGATTTGGAAGAAATGCTTCAGAACTCATGCAGCATCCCTCTTCTGCTCATTAAAGCAACTGAATCATTTTTTCAAGCTTTTGCCCAAACTTGAAAACAAAAGAGATGATTTGGGTGACAATTAAAGCAGGCTTATGTATACTGTGGAATTTTTCTAGTCCAGAGGTCCCCAACCTTTTGGGCATCAGGGACAGGTTACGTGGAGAAAGTTTTTTCCGCGGACCGGAGAGTGTGTGGTTTTGGTGCTGCCTGCATCCTGTGGATGGGGCTTTGTTTGTGCAGCCCAGTAGCTGGCATGGTCCAGTACTGGTCCAAAAACCAAGGGTTGGGGACCTCTATTGTAGCCTACTGAAGAATTTTTCCCCATCCCCTTGTTTAAATCCATGTGTAACTGGTATTAGGACAGCACATACTTTGAAATCTACTCAGAAGTGCTTTGCAATGTGCATAAATGCAGCATCTCTCTTATCAAAGTAGCAACCTCATTTTTCAACTGCTTCTGAATTATTTGCAAAGTGCACATAACCATTATGTACATGTACACAGAAAAGGGGAGGGGGGAACTTCTTAAACACATTAGAGGTACTCCAAATTATACATCCTCAAATGTAAATAATTTGAAGACATACCTTTACTCCTCAGGACCATAACAACTCTAACAGATTGTTGCCTCCCAGATTAGAATGCATTTTGCTGGTGATTGCAAAACCTTAAAGGGGAATTAAAATAGGATTTTATTAAGAAAGCATCCAATATTCCACCAGATACATAAATAAATATAATCTAATAACATTGCCCTAGTAACGTCTTGGCACAATAAAATGCCTTCCATGAAAGGAATGGGGAGGAGAATGATTTTGGACTTAACTTTAGTATAGCCTCAAAATCAGTGCCAGAGTATTAGCACCACCCTGGAAAGAAAAAGGAAAGGAAACCCTGGTGTTCCATTCTTAGGATATTTGATTGTGCCCTATATTGGATGTTCAGTTAATTGAGAGCAATTGATTTCAAATGAGTCTTTTACTCCCAATCAATTAAAATAAGAGTACATGATATTCTGAATGCAGAATCCAAACTACCCTATTTGTGCATCTGAAAAACTTTAACGGAATATTACATAAAAGGTTTTCCCATTTTTACTTTTGCTGATAGTTCTTTTAAATATATCAGATGGAGAAAGAAAACATTCGTATTACTTTAATTCGAAGGAAGTTACAGGAAGATTAATTTTCCCACAAGTAGATTCATGGCATTTTGGATGTTACTCTTGCAACATTGTGTCATTTTAAATCTGTAACTCTTAAACTGTATGACCCTATTACTCCTTTTCCCTGTCTCAAATTATGTGATTAGCCCAGAAAAAAAAACAGACTGTGGTGTTTTACACAAGCATCTCGACAGTGTCAGTCCCAAACTGGATCCTTGACTCACAAACAGTAACAAATTGCATCCTTAACCTCCGTTTAATAACCATTGTTTTAAATGAAACTTTCCCAACCTGGTAACTGCTAGAAGACAGAATAATTCCAATAATTTTTAGTTAGCATATCAACTTGATATGTAGCTTAAAAATATCTTGGATCTAGGCAGGTAGGATATAAATGAATACTAAGAGTAATAATTCAAATATTGTTGTAATGACCCACAACAGTGGAGTGACATTGATATATTTCCTAACCTTCCTCTAACCTCTCTAACCCTTGTGCAGGAAAACCAATTTTATTTTTGTTGGGTCAAGGTCAGTGGTGGGATTCAGCCGGTTCACATCAGTTCGGCAGAACCGGTAGCTAATTTGTTGTTGCCCAGGCCCAGAATGGACTTCCAGAAGCGGCATCCACACAGAGAACTGGTTGTTCACATATTTGAATCCCACCACTGGCCAAGGTGCTGCACAAACTCTTGCACTGCATCTCAAGTTATATGGCGGTCCAATGTGCCTGTATCACAAAAAAAAAAAAAAAATCTTTCATAGTTCTCAAATAATATTTTCTAAATTCTGAGAAATATAACTTTGAATCCAACTTTGCTTCACTTCCTCCTCCTCCTCCTCAAAAAAAAAAAAGTTAATTTTGCTATTTTCAAAGGGTAAAAAAACAGGGACAATAGCCAACTTGGTATCAAAGTGTTACCATGTGCGTCAGATAGTAAAATGAACATAGAATTACTTACAGGAGTCTAATGAGCAAATTGCAAGGATGCTCAAGAGTAGGGGCATCATCACCATCAAAATGCATGCTAAATCATCCCACTGGGCAGGAGAAGACAGCAATCTGTGATTTTTAAGGACTTGAAAAACAAAAGTAGCTTTTAACTTTCACAGGTTGGTACTCCACTTCTTTGTCTAAAAGTCTAAGCCCCTAAGAAGCGCCTGGGCTCATTTGATCAGCTGTTGACTTTAATCTTCACCAGTTTAGCATCCTCCCATCTACTTTGATCTTCACTGGAAATTTTGAAAGTTGCGGTCCAATATATCTGGACAGCTTTTGATTATTTTGATTGGCTAGTTGTGATGTACACAAATTGGCTAGTTGTGATGTACACAAATAGCAGGATGCTATGATGGTCATAAATGGGCTCTAGTTGCAAAATGCCTAAACGGCAAATACATGACTGCAGAGACACTGTGCCCTGCAGGTCATAAACACAAGGATTGATCATAAAGTTACATTTTCAGTGCATCGTAACTTCAAATGGTTGCTAAACAAGATGGTTGGTAGTGTGTATTTAGAGATGTATGTGTATTTATATCCTTGCATAAACACCATACACACACACACACACACACACACACACGGCAGTTTGATGAAGGGAACTTTCAGGTATAATGCTAGATCAACAGTAAGTATAAGAACACTGTAAAGAATAACAAAATATAGTTTTCTTTTGGCAACAGTTAACTCTTGCTGTTCTTTAGTAAATTGAATATTACAGAAAACAGATTGTGCAATAAGTCAGACATATCACTATTACAGAAATTTTGGCCACAACTGTTTGTGGAGGCTTCACATTCTCTTACATTTCTTTATCTCTATAATAATGGCTTCGAGAATTTTTGTACCATATCTCAACATTTTGGATTAAGAAAAAAAACCAGGGCGTTCTCACAAATTTTTTCCAGGAGGTGACCACCTCATCCTATATAGCTTTACAAGTCATTAAAATACTAATAATTACTGAAAGATCAAAAAGAATTAGAATGCCAAAGATGCAGACTTGCTGAAAATGGGGTTTCCTCCCCCCCCCAAGTTAATACCAACATAGAGAAATTCAATGAAAGAAAATAAAATTAGACAAATCTAAATCAATTTTAGAGTTAAAAGTAAGGAATTAAAGGAGTTAGGACTATAAGTTGACAAATAAATGCCACTTAATAATGGTCTTAAGTTTTAAATATTAAAATAATAGGGATGTGGAAAGAAGTTATGCAAAAAAGGGGAGTCAGCAGCTTGTTTCTTTTTTTGTAAAACAGCCTGCAGGGAGCCAACATTTTGATCCTACCATCATATCAGCCCCTAAAATACTTCATGCATATATCAAGCACCTGAAAAACCTCAGTTAACTAAGTCACAAACTTTGAAATATACGTGCATAGCAAAACTGATGGCAGGAACTCACAAGTCTACAGAGAACCCCATTGGGCAAGAGATGATTGATGCAGGCAGTTCTTTCCTCTTGAAATAATTCTCGTGGTGGACTACCGATGCTTTCAAGATATCGGCTTGAGCCCTCTGCAAGTGACATGCACTGTCTTCGTTGGCAATTAATTTGTGGCTGATGCTTGTGCTTGACATTTTATCACAAGGAGGGCCTTTTTCTTTTTTGCCTTTAGAAAATGACAGATTAAAAAAACCTTTTCTCCGTTTTTCTTCGGTGATAACTGGAGACCCTGATGCCTTCCTTGCCTTTGGCTGTGACATCCTAGGGCTATGAGAAAAACAGGCATATATGTAGGTGCTGCATTACTTATACAATTAAATGTAAGGCCAATGTTAGACCTGAGGACAGTTGCTTGGCCGGACCTAACTAACCAAATCCCCCAGGTTGAAGATGGCCAGATGCTTCTCAGTTTGTCACTACCTTGTGCCTAATTCCATGCAGGAAGCTTAATGAACACCCACTGTATTGTCAGAGATGATTAATGGTAAAGAAAGAGATATGGCTAGAACATATTTCACTACAGGGAAAGTTTATCATTTTCAAAGTTGTATGATGTTTCCTCTTCAAATGATTATTGTAAGAAAAATGGGGAAACTAAACGTATATTGCAATTGAACATAATTTTATTGCCTACTACCTATCATTTTTCCAATACCTCCATTAACTAGGATCATACTCAAAGTCCGTTAATGGGTATCTAAGATGCTATTCAAGATTAGGAAAATTAATCTTATTTTTATGAGTTTTACTTGAAAATCAGTGCATATTTTAACAGCCATTCATATTTCTTAATAAGCAAAGCAGCATTCTCCAACTTATTGTCCTCAGGTAATATTAAACTACAACTCCCAAATGCTCAGCTGGTAGAGTCAATGATATGCTGGTTAGAAATTCTACAAACTAGTCTAATACCTTTGGACAGGACTAGATTGAAGGAAGGCAGCTATAAAGCAATAAGAAAAAGAACAAGACAACAACAAAAAGCTAATTTGTCCATGAAAAAATATTACTAAAGTTTGTTTTCCACATATATATTTTTTCCTGTGACTTTCACTTAATCAGAATAATAAAACAGACACTTTCTGCTGGGTTGGGGATCCTAAAGCATCTTATTAATCCATGGTGATTAAACCAGAAAAATGCAAATATGTTTATGGGAGAGCAATTACTGCACAATATTTATTATTATTATTAAAGCTTTCTCCTGCCTATCTTACATTAATGCAAGGTACCTAATCCTTCAACCTCCTATTTTACCCATAAAACAACCCTGTAAGGCTGAGTTGGGCTGAGAGAGAGACTGGCCCAAAGTCACTCAGCGGGCTCAGCTGTCATTCTATAAACAAAGGGCCCTAAGAATTCAATAACTAAAATTGTCTAAACCAGGGGTAGGCAACTTTGGCTCTTTTATGACTCATGGACTTCAACTCCCAGAATCCGAGCCAGCATAGCTGGCTCAGGAATTCTGGGAGTTGAAATCCACGAGTCATAAAAGAGCCAAAGTTGCCTACCCCTGGTCTAAACCATTCAGATTTGAGATGAGAAGAGAATCTGATAAAAGTAACAGCAAAAATACAGGGTACAAAGTATCCCTTCCCATAAACCTTATCATTTTTTAAAAAAATAAAAAGCAGTGCCACTATTATTTAATGTACATTTCCTCCCAAACCAGAATATACTGATCTGTTAGAAATACAAGCAGGTGTGCTTTAAAGATACTATTTAATTTAGCTGATGATAGAGCTTACCTTTCTTGGACATATGGTACCTGGATGCTACTTAACTTAAATCGCTTAGTATCGTCCGCCACCATTGTACTGTGGGGACCAGCATAAGCTCGACTCTCTGGATGAGATTTTTGCTTCGTTAGTTTATTCTCATCTTCTACCGCAGCAGCTTTTCCATCATCAACTATCTTGCATAACAGCTCATCTTTATCTGTGCTCATCTCTAGTGGGTTGGCCGAATGACTAATAGGAGAAGATTGGCAAAAGACAGGATTTTAAGTATCTTTGCAAAAAAGAGAAACCAGCCAGTCACAGATATAGATAGGCACAGTAATAAATATAGGGAGATAACAGGGCTCCGTAAAATAACAATCCTAAAAGCCTTTGGGAAATGTACGTGAGCCCCAAGTTAAGTTAGTTAGCTTATTATAAGTATAGTAACTATTATAAGCATAGTAACTAAATTATAAGTATAGTAACTAAGTATAGTCTGTAGTGTAAGTACTATAAGAAACTGCGTTTTATTTCGACTGAATACCTAGTTGTAAGAACTACGCGGAAAGAAATGGAATGGGACGTCGAAACTCAAGATCTGAATGTTAGCTTATCGTTTGCCAACGTTCCATTAGACTCAACAAGACGCGATTGGCAGGAAGCTTGCAAAAGGATCAACCGAGGCTTCCGACAGCCCGCAATTATTCACACCGCCTTAAAGCGCTACCTGAATAGAAAAACAACAGATTAAGTGGCGGAATTGTAAATATTACCTTTTATTGCAGTCAGTCTCGTATTTTCGAGCGACACCAGAAAGGAACGCCCGGGCGTTTTGCGGAATCACTTTTTCTTCCGTATTCTCTGTAGACTGCCGATGATAGACATATACAATTCAGAGCTCATTTCCGAGTTCGCTTTGAAGGATCAAAAAGAGCATTTACTACATTTTATTATTTTAAAAAAATAATAACGGCAGGAGTCATAGCTAGATTAGGAAGCAGAAAGTGTCTGCCGTCTCCACCACGACATCGCCAGATATTAAACCAGACTGGAATCCTGGATCTTTTGAAACAACGCTTATATTTTTAAAAGAATAAAAAGCTTTCCTACAAATTACCGTCCAACGCACGAAGTTCATGTTTTCCTGGAAAAGTAATTGCATTGAAAGCCACAATTAAGTTCCCGCGTTTCAAATAGCGCTTACTCCAGGTTTAGTTGAGATTTAAAAAACCAAGCATTTAAAATACTGGATTTGAGTCTTTCCTTTTAATGGCGCAAACTCCTATTCCCCCTAAGGGAAATAAAGGCAGTTTAAAGAATGGGAGGGGGGGAGCGTTCCTTCTAGCAAAGAAAGTTCCTTTGCAACTTTCCTCTTTTCGTACCTCTATGATTTTCACACTAACAGCTGCCTCCTGTAACCCTCCTTCTCTGACGTCTGAGTTGCAGCTGAGACAGAGATTCCTGAGCCCTGTTAGGGTCGGATTTTTCCCGACATAAAGGATTTTTCTGGATTTGGGTCGCAGTAGCTTTCTGGAGGCTGAGTCGAACAGGAGCTTCACTTGGAAAGGCAGCTCCTGGGGCGGAGCCAGCGTTTGACCTCGTGGGCGGGACCACGGGAGACTTAGGAAGTGGCAATGTTCCCTCTAAGACAGTGCTGTTACTACGTCAGTATCCCTATTGGGATACAAGTAGACGTACAAACAGTTCATTTAGTGACAGTTCGAAGTTTTTCACACGGCCGTTGCAGCATCCCCATGATCACGTCATCAAAATCCAGATACTTGGCAACTGGTTCATATTTATGACGGGTCCTGGGGTCATGTGATCAGCTTTTGCGACCTTCTGTCAAGCAAAGTCAATGGGAAAGGCAAATTCCCTTAACAACCGTGTTGCCAACTTAACAATTGCAATGATTCATTTAACAACGGGCAAAAGTCATAAAATGTACAAAGCTCACTTAGCAACATAAATTTTGGAGTCAATTGTGGTTGTTAGTCGAGGATTGTCTGTAGGTAGAAATGTGTTGTTTTTTAAGGAAGGCTTGGAAAAAAAGATTCCCTTTCCCCCTTTCTGCTGTACTGTCTTGTGTGGGACGAGAGGTTGTACATGGGAGGGATGGGCAAAGAAGGCCAGGAGTGTAAACCAAGAGTATAAACTCCCAGCAAAGTCACACAATGTGTCAAGGCCATCCCAGTTGCTTAGCTAAAGGGAGATGGCAATTAAAATAAGCACATTGTTAAATGGACATCACCAGATGATGTACAAAGAAAACAAATCGATTATATAAAGCATGAAAGACATGTACAGGTGTTAGCTGTGAAACATTACAAGTGGCTTATGTGCAAGTTCCAACTTACGCTAAAGAAGAAGAAAGCCAATTAGTTTCTACAATATCATTGTGTGCATATATGCCCAAGTGGGGCCACGAATGCCTGCGATGCTTGAGGTGATGCTCATGCGAGTGGGGCTACGAATGCCCGCAGCGATGCCTGTGCAAGTAGGGCTGCAAACAGCTACAACGACGCTTGTGTGAGTAGGGCCACGAATGCCTGTGATGACACAGTGATGTTCACATGAGTGGAGCTGTGAATGTCCATGATGCTCGCGGCAACACTTATGTGAGTAGGGCTGTGCATGTGCGTACGCATACACACACCGACCAACCAGTCACGTGGCCCAGTGGCCAATAGACTGCGGCCCGGTATTGGGCCACGGCTTTAAAGGACCCCTGCTTTAAAGGACTAGGAGAATCCAATTTCCAGTGTGGCAGAAAAGAAAGAAGAATGACTTTTATGGGCACACTCTAAAATACACCTTTGTAACACTTCCCTGGAAGCACAGGAAAGACATATTGAAAGAATGTGACTTATTTTATGATGTCTCGTTAATTTGGAATCAAAGCCTTTGCAAATCTCTTTGTTAAGTCCATGGCCTTCCTCCATGGAGTGGAAGCAAAAGCACAACTGAGGCCAACTGAGGTTACGTAGAAGTAGCTATATTAAAGAGCCTTGTTATGTCTCTAAGTGACAGCTTGGGAGAATGGTGCTCATTTTTGTAACTGTATAGAACAGCGGTTCTCAACCTGTGGGTCGCGACCCCATTTGGGGTCGAACGACCATTTCACGGGGGTCTCCAAACAACGCAGTCCGCCATTTTCCCCCCTTTTCCTTAGCTGTGCTTTTATTCTATTGGCTTTTGAAAGCCAATAGAATAGACTCTCTTGAATAGAGTCTAATTCTATTGGCTTTCAAAAGCCAATAGGAATTGTCCAGGCTGTCTCTGCCCTGCTGAGCCTGCCAAAAGTCCCATTCTGCAAATGGTGCTGCAAGTTGTCTGCAGCGAAGGCGAGCTGTCTGGAAGTTTCCACCCCTCCCTGCTGAGCAACTACTAAAAATGTTAGTAAAAGAGGGCCAGGGGTGGGAGGTGGGAGGCCGGCGGGTGCAGGGAGGGTTGCTGGTGCGTGTAGGGCCCAGCGGGTGCCTTACCTCCCTTGGGTTGGGCCAGCTGGTGGCCCAGCCGGTGGTCGGCCTGCGCCATCTCTGCTGCTTGCCAGCTACGCCTCGGCCGGCGCAGGGGGCGGCACCACGCATGTGTGGCGCTCCCGGGCAGGGAAAGTCCTCGACTTATGACTGGTTGGGTAGTCCTCGACTTACGACCGGTGGGGGTCGCGGCATTAAAAAGGTTGAGAACCACTGGTATAGAATCAAACCATTAAATTGATATGGAAACCAGCAAAGAGTGAAGTTACAGTCTCAACTGTCCTTTTTCTGAATAGGAATTCAAACAGCAATGCTCCCTAGATGATTGCATTTAACCTACGTGCTGGTTTTATTGTGAACATTTTTATAATAGCAATAGTTCTCCTATTGACAAAAAATAGTTCTAGTTTCTGTTACAGTCTTTCTCCAGGGATCAAGTCAAATACCGATTTAAGATTTTCAAAGAATACATGTAATGCTTCTGGGGAGGGGAGGAAGTGCTGAACTGTTTCTGTGCCAAATATAAAATGTCAATCAATCTATTTTATTTGTGGCCAAAAGTCCCCAAAACAAATTACAAATATAATCTAACCTTGCCATTAGATAAAGCAGTCTAACAAATTAAATATTTAACAAATATTACATAATCCATTTAAAACAACTCATTGATATTTTTTTTTACTAAATACCTTGCTTTATTGCCTCAGTTAAAATGGAGCTGTTTCCAGTATAATATTAGACGTTTCATTTGTAAGTAACATTTTTAATTAATCTGAAAGGTCTCTTCCTGGTTTGGATTTTAAAATAGGACAGGTAACTTCTTCCTAAAGATTCTTATAAAATTCGTAATGTAATAAAATACAGTCCATTGTTTCAGAATTAGTAACAGTACAGGGACAAAAGCTTAGAAAGATGGGTATTTTTTTGAAATCTACCATATGGCACATTTGATGACACACATTTAATCTGGAAATTAAAGCAAGGGAGGAGAAATGTGATTTCAAACTTGCAGAATTCTATTACTGTAATCTTATGATAACAGTATGGTTAGTATTTATGATATTGATGTCTTGTCTGCATTACCTCATATTCTGAGCCATAGCTTTCCCAGTTTCTTACAGAAGCAAATGTGTAAGAGTTGTGTCAGCTCATTTTCCTTTTGCTTCTCACTGAACAACTGAGAGGGATGAGCAGGTGATATATGAACAGGAAGGACTGGGTCACAAGACAAAGAAAAGATTAATGGAATATAGAGGGAATACATTGATGGAGGTTGTCGTAATTGGTAGCTAAGGGTCAATTTGGATACTGATTAAGATTGACTCTATAGAGTGGGAACATACTTTCCATGTTGATCCTTAGAAAGATCAATATTCAGAACAGTAAGCAAACCTCATCACTCCTTTGTAATGAGACCAACTTGATTCTTTCGGTATGCAAAACTTTTATAACTGACATTAGTGTGGGTGGGTGGGGGAGTTTATATGAATGACAGTGTATTTCTTCAGTTATTTTTTTTAATATACAAACAAAATAAACAAGATAAAATTTCTAAAAGCCTGCAGTTCCAACTGGGTCTGCTGTTTCCCAATCAAGCAGGAGCTATTAACAGTCTCTGGGCATTTGACTTGTAAAATGTTGTGCTTTCTATAACATAAAACATCTGTTTTGCTTTCATCTTGAGCCTTTTTGGTTTTAGAGCAGCGGTTCTCAACCTATGGGTCGCGAACCCATTTGGGGTCGATCGACCATTTTTCGGGGGTCGCCAAAGAAGGCGATCTGCCATTTTCTCCCCTCAGGGGGCGCCGCCGCGCATGCGCGCCGCGCATGGGGGTGCCGCTGCGCATGTGTGCTGCGCATGGGGGCATCGCCATGCATGCGTGCCGCGCATGCGTGGCCCCACCCCATGCGCGCATTGCCGCGCATGCGCATAACGTTTGTGTGACGGGGGTCGCCGTCACACAAACGTTGAGAACCACTGTTTTAGAGGGAAGGAAACCAGGACTCCCTTGTTGCCTAATTTCCATAATTTGTGGACATGCCACCCTCCTTTTTCATCCATATCAAAACAGAGAACAGCATGCCAAAGCATCAGTTGATATACAGACATCGTTCAGTCAATGTTGTTATATATTGTAAACTAAGTGTAATAGAAGTGGTTGTCTGAGCTCTTCCTAGAATTGGGTCCATATGCTATTAACTGGAATTTAGTGCAGTAGCAACTTGCCCTTGTAAGGTGTAGATCAGGCATGTCAAACTCGCGACATCACATGATGTTGTGCGACGTATCGGAGCTTTTTCTCCATTGCCAGCAATGGGGTGGGCGCAGTTTTGGGATGACGCGTCCAGCCCATGGGCTGGCAGTTTGACACCCCTGGTGTAGATGAAAGAAATTGCCCATATCTTTGGATAAGATTTCCTGTTACAAACTCTGTCAATTGCTAAATACTGGATTCTAGTGCTTGTTCCAACAGTTGTAACGTAACCCATTTCGTAACAGAATACCAATGAAACTTTTCTTTTCTAACATGTTTTCATTATTTGGCAAAGGTTACTTTGGCTGCTATAAGCAAAAACTTAATGAAGTTTTTTATTTAGGAATTTATTATACTGACCATCAAATATGTGTAACAAACAAGTGCTAATGATCAGATGACTGCAAGAATATAAATGTTTCCAATCCCCACCAGTCAGATAGAACTGAAGAAGCGATTAGATGAGAAGCAAAAGTTTTTCGAACAAAAAATCCAAGAAAGTCCAGTTGCCTTTTGGAAAAGCATATTTGGGTTTTCAACATATTATAAAATTTGTTTCTGGCAATTAGAAAAATAATTGTTGGAAATACCTATCAGGAGGTTGAAAAAAATACATTAGTTTTGTTAGTGCTATCACCTTTTCTGCTACTATATTATTTAAAATGCTTAGAGAAATTTTGTTCCAGCTTTTCATACCTTTACTTATTGTTTTTTCCTCAAAGTAATTATTATTGAATT